TTTGTTATTTCATCATGATACTCAGCAGATTTTGTAAATTCCTGGTTTATATATTTTTGTCTGCTTCTTAATTACTTCCATTGACTTAAAAGAGCTTGATTATAACTATTGTTGAACATATCATTGTACGTTGTATCAAATCTGATGTGAGAATCAGGTGCCAGTGGTAGGATCAAGCACTGTTTTCATCAAACCATCTCAACTTATGGTGCGTTATTTCACAAGTGATAAACATTTAATTTGGGCCGGAGGTGGATCCCTTTTTATTGTTCTTTCTTAAAAGATATGTATGACTGGAGTCTGTAAAGGACACAAGCAAAGGCACCTATGGGAGTGTGATGAATATAGATTCCTACCTTGTCCAAAAACAAAAAAATACTAGGAGTCAATTTTAAGTATGATTGCAAAAGACCAACAATTAAAACCGTAACCATTCACCTCAGAAACTTCGTAAGATCTAAACCAGTAAACATAAAAAAAAATTACAGCATGGAAAAATTAGATGAACCGCAAAAATATCATATGCTTGTAAGCCAGTAAACAGGACAAATGTACTATAGTAGGCAAAGGTATGGCGATAATTATGCTAAAATGAAGTTTCCCTGCTCAGAATTAAATACTATTATTGCAATTAAAAATTGAATGTTTCGAACTTTCATTGTGATATTATTTTTCCATGAATATTTTTAATTGCAGTATTGGTATTCTTCTGGCATGAGTAGAATTTTATTGTAATATTACGTCTGGTTCTATGATTCAATCCCCCTCTTGATTTAGGCCAAGGTGCTCCAACTAAGAATAACTCTGGTACCAGAGGTATCAAAAATATTTATCAGAAATGGTGTTATTTATCAAAATATCAGGATTATTTATTAGAAGTATTTATGGTAGAGGATAAGGGGACTTGTAGTTCAGTAGTGGGCGTAATGCATGTTCTCACTAGAACTATCTCGTAATAACTACGCTTCCAGATATTTTGCTACAGAAATTATACCCGATAGTAATTATCAACTATGCACCTAAGAGAATTACTAACTTTTAGTTTTTATTATCAATAAAGAAAAAAAGTTAAAGAAACCATACGAAATTCTGATACTTTCCTTTCTCTGCAATTCTAAAGTTCTATTATGGCAGTCAGTAGTTTTTGTAAATTTCTGGTTATATTTCTGCTTTGTAATTTCTCTCTTCTAACTTGAGCTTGATTAGAACTAGTGTTAAACATATCCCTATACCAGATTTGTTATGAAAATCAAGCACCAATAGTAGTATCAGGTACTGTATTCGTTAAAGTACATTCATGTGAAAGACTAGTTCCCCATTTCTCTTTGCCCTATCTCACTTGATGGTGTTTTATTTCCAAGCCTAATAATGTTCAGGCTGATGGACTTAACGATGGATATTTTTTCATCGTTCTTTTCTGGAAATTTGTTTGACTAGGAGAGATAGAAGCAAAAGGAAAGGCACCTGCGGGGATTAAGACTCCCAAATTCCCAACTTATTCATAGTTGTACTGAAATTTACCTGTCATAATGTTTACAAAATTAAATTTCATAATATTTCTCTCATTTCTGTCACTATTCCCCATCTAATCTCCAACTGGTTCTGTTATCCTTTGCAATCATCTAATGGATTTTGTGAATGGTTGTCGATAAATGATGTTCAGCTCAACATTATATTTGTTTCTTTGGTAATTATTGTTCACAAAATAAAACTTTATAATGTTTCTGGTTCCAGTTACTATTCCGTCTGATCTCCATGTGATTCTGAAATACTGTGTAGTCATCTACTGCATTTTGTGAACTGCTGATTGCTGGCCTCCTGGATTCCTAGTCCTAGGCCAGAATGGGAGATGTTAGTTGTCGGGTTTGCTTTTACTACATTTCAAATAGTTCAGTAGAAGTCGGGCCGTGCCAATAATAAATTGGCAAAGATTATTGGATTACTGCAATGCAACCTCCTCTAAAGTTGGGCAAAATTTTCATGACTATGCTTAAGTAGAGGTGTTGGTCAATTGATCATGGTTGAAAATCCTGTATCGATGGTAATGGTTCTTTTTTTTAATTATAATGTGAAATCCTGTTTATATGCTCAATTGTGCCATGAAGAGTGGGCGCTATGTCTACCTACAGATATAGCGTTTAACAAGATCAACATAGATGAACGAACTTGTCAAAGCAGCAAAAACGAAGGCTATGATTAACGCTTTCTAGCCTTCTATACCATTAATTACGTGTCTTTTTACTCCTTGGGATGCGCTTTGATTTATTGTGCCTAGAACATGTCACTTAGTTGCTGTTTAAAATAATATATTCAGAAAACTTGGATTAGTGGTTGTTCTATATATGTTTTTGGATTACTCATTATTGTATTCAAGTAGCTATGGCATGTGCATACATGATATTCCAACTGACAAATTAAGTGCAAATTAATTTTTATAATATTGGGTTTAAGTGGAATTTTCAATCTAAATCTTATTTTATTTTTAGGTCATCCAATATTAGTTAAATAGCTGTTTAATTTTATAGCTAAATATTTTATATTTTTTGGATTAGGTAAATTCTATTGTGGAATTCCTATTTTGGTAGGGTAGGAATATCTAACATTTATGATGCCTTTCTTAAATTTTCTTCATTATGGATGAGCCATGTACGTTGACATTCACTCTTATTTCTTCTCCACAATGGATTATTTCTTAAAAAATGGGATTTGGATAAAACACGAAAGATATTTTTAAGGGGTGATAGATACATTTTTTTCTTGTCAACTTCTTCATTGGATTTAGATGACAAACCACAAATAATTTTAAGTAGATATTAGGGATTATTGATAATGAATGTGTGTGTGTGTGTGTGTGTGTGTGAGAGAGAGAGAGAGAGAGAGAGAGATGTACGATGCTCCTGCTGAGAGATTTGCTGAAAAATAAAATTTATTAATTAAAAAGGAATGTGATGTTTTGTTTATAAAAAATGTAATGTTTTTTTTTTTCACTTTTTAGTCTTTCAGTATTTAGTTGTTTAATTTTCTATCCATCCATTTCATTTTATTTTTTTCTTATGCTTTTGTTGGCCAGTTAGAGACACTATGAAAAGTTCCTATTTTTTATAGCAATAAGTATGATGTAAATCTATTTCATAATGTTTAATTGAGTTTTCATTTTCTGCTTGTTCCTATTTATTCTGCATAATATATTTCTTTTAAATCAGAATTCTAATAAAACACATATATTCAAAGGAAGATGGATATGATTTGTATGATTTTTTCTTTTGGTACTTCTATCATTGCATTTTGAACAAATCAAAGAGATTTTAAGTTTTAGAGATTTTTGGATGAACGTTTAGGGAGGAAGATAGAAAGGTAGATTTTTTTCTGAAATTTGGAGGAAAAATAAGAGTGAAGAAATTTGTAAGTGACACTGTCCCTTCCCTTATAAATTAAGAAATTTCAAGAAGGAATCCACTACGCAACGCCTATGGGAATGGTGCCATCCGATTTAATCGGAAGCCACTGATAGAACAACCGCCATGGACATAGCATGTCCGTGCCGGTCAAAAAAACATGCGGTACTGCCACGAACATGGCGCCTTCCGTTGGGGGTCCGTTTAATAAACCGCCACGATCATGCTATGTTTGTGGCGGGGTGAAACGCTGTTTAAAATCGCTTAAAAGTGTTTTCAAGACTTTTCCTTTCAAGAATGATCATCGTAATGATCTTTTGTTTGTATTGTATTCATACTTCTCACTATCACACACTTTTAAAAAACACAAACATAAAGATTTTAAATAAATAAAATAACTCTAAAATTTGTACCAATATCTTAGTCATTTTAATTAATTATTTCTTCTTCTTTTTTTTGCAAATGTGTGATAGTGAGAAGAATGAGAAATAAAATTTGAGCTCTAATTTTTATTAAAAAATATAGAATTAATAAACTAGACATACTCTTACAAGTAGGACATGAATGTAAAATAAGAAATATTAGGGATATTTTGAAGGGAAATTATCATATATATCCTATAACGTTCTCCTTATTTCGAATATATCAAAATTTACCGTTTAATACACCCATAGCCATATTTTCCTTTTTTTTCATAAAATGACATTTTTGCTCCCACCACAGACATAATAGGTTTGTCGCAGTGTATTAAACCTCAAACCCACCCATTGCTCTTGGTTTACACTCCTCGCTGCATCTCTATTAGAGTCGTAGCGATTCAGATGTTCCTGAAATCCCTTATGGATGCCTTTAGCATGTGAGGCTGGATAAACATTACAATGGTAATAATTCATTGTGCCCGAAACTCCAGGATATCAGCTTATGAAGGCAAATATCGGATCTTCTGATTGAAGCAATTCAACAGCCTAATGCTTTATGTGATAAAAATCACAAACTAGGTTTAAAGGAACTCTGGATGGGAATCAGAATGTTGATTTGGACCATGACTTGATTGTTTCTCTCTTATTCTTGAAATGAAACTTATAACAGAGTCAATTTTGGTTTGAGGGAGTGAGTATCAAAATCATTCCTTGTAATACTGTAGTTCACCCATAGTAGCTGCTTTGTTTTGCTTTGGTGTCATACGCTTTTTTCAGCCCATATTTGGCATGTATAGGCATTCTTTTCAATGAATGAAAATTAATCATCAAGAAATAAAATAACCTCTGTAGCTTCATTAATAGATGATATCAACATTATTAAAGCAAACGTTTGAAATATCAAAATTATGTGAGTTTTAGGTGTCAAGATCAACTTCAGGAAGATGGGTTTCTTTTTTAAATTGGCCATAGATATTTGATTGCAAATGTTCCATCTCCTATGCTATGCCACTTTATCCCTTTTTGTTGTTTGTGTATTTGCTGCTGTAGTAAGACTTGAACTTGATGCAGATTGCATCTGTATCCCTATTTCTCTTTACATGAACATGTTTCTCAACAACATATGAATATGCTATGTAGTTTACTTAGCTTGTGATTCCTTGGGTGTTTCTTATTATTTGGGCAGATATTTTGTACGACTCGTGGTCCCCAGCCATGACTGTTAGCTCCATCTGCATCAGCATTCTATCCATGCTGTCAAGCTCAACTGTTAAGGTCTCGCCACAACTCTCTCTCTCTCTCTCTTTCTTTCGCTCTCTCACACACTTTTGACATGTACAAATGCTAATATGATTATTTTTGGCTCTGGAAACTTTGGGTACAGCAACGCCCTGCGGATAACGATCGTTATGTGAAGAACTGTAGAAACGGGAGGGGTCCGAAGGAGACGAGATGGTGGTTCCATGACGACAAAGTGTAAATAATGAGAGCCAATGCCTGAAAGAGTTGGGTCACTTCACAAGCGTCTGATCAGTCTCTAGGTTAGAAAAAGAAAGATGGTGGTTCCTTAAGCAGCAGTCGTAGTGAGCTTTCCTGACAGTGCCAGTCCCAAGAGTCACCTGGTTAAAAGCCTTCTTCAGCTGCTGTATATTTCCATTTTAATTTGTGTAAAGGGAACGCTCTGTGTTGTATGTAGTCGATAGGACCAAAAGACCTTGTGTCGCGTTTTAAGTCAACTTGTGTGCCGCCCTCAGCCAACTCATTCCGGACTAATCCTCTTTAACTGATTCGTGAGTGGTTCATTTTTCTCTTGCTCTCGTAGTTTGGTTGTAGAGGCCCAACTAATTAGGGAAAAGGTTGAAATAATGCTTAGGTCGTGTAGAAAAAGTAAAGGCGCACCTTAAAATTTGTAGTTTTGGTGTCGAGAAATCTTCAAATTAATTATATCGACCTTGCATTTTATGGAAGAGGAAAAAAATAAGGATCTTGAGTCTTGAGAGCAGTGTGATTATGTAGATCTATCTATCTTGAGTCTTTAAGAGCAGTGTGATTATGTAGATCTATCCATAGATGTATAAGATTTGTATCTTATTTGGAGCTTCAATTTTTATAATTATAGGTAAAATAGATTTATGAGCAATAATAAGGGTTTTTATAAAAAAGTTTATTTTGTGATCGGGTTTAGAAGTGACCTCCTTTTTTCCCTGAAGTCTAGGCTGTTGTAGCAAGTGTGAGGTTGCGGCTTTATGATAAAAGTAAAGCTACACCTCGAAACTTCATTGGAACATGTGGTTGATGAAATTTGAAGATCTAAAAAAGATGTGTGGTAAATCTGTCATTTTTATCATCAAAGCTTTTTCTCAACTATCCGGTGTTGGTTATACGAATCTTGGTTTGTCATTGTGCCTCTCAGTGTTCCATCAAGAGCGATACTTTCTTTATTTACTACTAAAAATGTCTTTTTGAGCTTATCTGTTGTTCTTTTGTAAGCTTTTCATTGCAATTAACTCTACCTCCTAACAGGTGTGTGTGTCATATTTATGAACAACTTAATAACAATGTAAAAATTCTCATAGATATAATTGTGGTCCCTATTCTTCGAAGTAGACAAAGATTGTAGTCAAATGTTAGATTCTCTAACTTTGACGGGCAAAATTTAAAGGGAAATTTAGGAATAAATCATATTCTTTTATCAAATTAAAAAATAGCCATGTATATTTATGTAGACAAAGTTTCTACAAGGTACAATCAATGTTATATTATGGGAATTAAGGCATGCCTTAAAAAACCTAGTAGAAAAGGTGGTTGAGGTGCTAGAGTATCTCCAATTGATTATCTGGACTTTAACGTGCGTGGATATAAAAAAAAGAAAAGAAATAAAAGAGGGTTTCAAGTCCTAAAAGCACATCTTGTAATACTATATAGATTTTCTATTTTTAAGTTTTTCAAATATCTATATAAATGTGTTTTTGGGGCTTTAAATTCATAATTAAGGATTAAAACAACATTTTTCGATGGATTTTTGAGGTGCATCTTTAATACATTGTAATTTTATTTAAACTTTTTCTATATATATGTATATGTATATGAGTAAACATTACAATAGCTGAGCTACTATAATGAATACTAATATAGGTGGAATCGCAACCATCAGATTTTCATCAAATGGTTCATAATACATATCATTATATGAATTTTAATTTTTTCTATAAATCTGATTAAAATAAAATTTTGGTTGTACATACCTACCACTATTGCGCATCATATAAAAATATAAAAAAATTATTTTCAATAATTTAAAATGACCAAATTACCTTTGCTATTGTTTAGAGGTATTTTAGTCATTTTATATTTTAGAAAATATATTTATATATTTTTTAATTGTGCGTCTTATTTTATTAGGATCTAATTTCTAGAAAAAATATTAAAATTCATATAATAATTTGCATTTTGAACCACATGATGAAGATCTAATGGTTGGGATTCCACCTATGCTATTATTCATTATAACTACCACGATATTATTATTATTTATATATATATATATATATATATATATATATATGGTTTCTATCAGTGTTTAAAAAAACGCCGAGTCGAACCGGAGGGAATCGCCATGGACGGATCGAATCGGCGAAAAAAACGGGAATCGTTCGGTTCTAGAGAGAACCGGACGATTCTGCACAGTGACTCACCGATTCACTGTACGGAATCGGCGAGTCCCATACAGTGAATCGGCAAGTCCCGTACGGATTTTTTTTTTTTTTTTTTTTGGAATCCATGATAGATTTTTTTGTAATACTTGATCGATTTTTTTTTAATCATGATCGAGTTGTTTTTTTTTTTTTTTGAATCCATGATCGAATTTTTTATTTTTTTGTAACCCATGATAGAATTTTTTGTAATCTATGATCAAATTTTTTGTTTTTTTTTTTTTTGTAACCCATGATAGAATTTTTTGTAATCCATGATCGAATGTTTTGTAATCCATGATCGAAATGTTTGTTTTTTTTTGTAATCCATGATCGAAATGTTTGTTTTTTTTTTGTAATCCATGATCGAATTTTTGGTTTTTTGTTTTTTGTTTTTTTGTAACCCATGATAGAGTTTTTTGTAATCCATGATTGAATTTTTTGTAATCCATGATCGAATTGTTTTTTTCTTTTTTTGTAATCCACGATCAAATTTTTTGTTTTTTTTGTAATCCATGATCGAATTTTTTTTTTTTGTAACCCATGATAGAATTTTTGTAATCCATGATTGAATTTTTTGTAATCCATGATCGAATTGTTTTTTCTTTTTTGTAATCCACGATGGAATTTTTGTTTTTTATGTTTTTTTTTTTTGTAATCCATGATCGAATTTTATGTAATCCATGATCGAATTTTATGTAATCCATGATCGAATTTTTTGTAATCCATGATTGAATTTTTTGAAAATTTGTGATGTTTTTTTTTAATCCATGATCGAATTTTTTTTTGTAATCCATGATAGAATTTTTTGAAAATTTGTGATTTTTTTATTTTAATCCATGATCAAATTTTTTTTGTAATCCTTGATAGAATTTTTTGAAAATTTGTGATTTTTTTTTTAATCCATGATCGATTTTTTTGAAAATTTGTTATTTTTTTTTTAATCCATATTATTCAAAGAAAAAATGAGAGAGACGATGATTCTGAGGCCACCCTATCCAAGCCATATTATTCACATATCGAGTCCCAACAGCAACAGTGTAAGGATAAGCATGACAGTGCAGGTGAGCATGAAGGATGGACAAGCTTTGGGGATTTTAGATTGGGAACACAACAAAACACTAACACTCAGGGATTTGGGAATAGTCATACGCCTGCTAATATCGATGATTCGTTTTTAGATCGAATCAATGAATTGTTAAACGAATTCGATCAATGGCACCAACATGACCAAGAAGAACAATAACGTCGTCTATCATTTTATTTTTAGATCATATGTTACTAATTTTATGCTTTATTGTAGTCCATGTATGTTGATATACTTATTCCATGATAATTCTATGTTTATCCTTTTGTGTGATGTAAATTAAATACTGAATGGCAGTTCATGCAGAGAAAGAACATAACAATATTCACATATTCATTCAAAAACATGTAAATTCTTAATGGAGTACCCTCATTTTTTATTGAATTCCTAAAAAACAATATTTATAATGAATTTTAATAATTTTTTCGGATTTTTTTTAAGTTTTATTCTGACCGATTCACCCGATTCCCGATCCGGATCAGTTTTTTGGATGCCCGATCCCGGTCATCGATCCGTTTTTTAAACCATTGGTTTCTATAATGTTGCAACTTTAAACAATCCAATTATGGGGCATATCCAAATTTTATCACAACATGTATTTTTGGTGTAAAGCTGTTATGATTATCTTAAAATCCATTTTCATATCTAATTATAAAATTTCAAACTCTAAAAATAGTTAAAATCAAGTAGACCTATAAACATATGAAAATCTTGAAAATAGACGGTGTAGATAATGTTTGCAATATGCATTATTTTTTGTACTAAAAATCTTTTTTTATTTTATTTTCATATTCATACATCACGATATATCGAGAAAAATAATATATATAAAAGTCGCCCAATTTTAAAACGGTTAGACCTTGTTAAAAAATTAAAATTTCACTTTTTGTTTTGAAAATGATAATCTAGTGGTTACCAAATTTTCAGATCGAAAATAAATCCTCAAATAGGTCATCTGAGGGAGCAGAATCAAAGTATTTTCCTTAGGGAGCAAAGTATACGCACTCTTTCTCCAAAACAAGCAACTTTCTCTCTCTCCCTCTCTCTCGCACATCCCCAACTATATTTGGGCGACCCTCTCTGACCATCTCCAAATGTACTTGGGCAATCCTCTTCCTCTCTCGGATAAAACTACCTGCTTCCTTCTCTCTCTAGACCAACTGCCACATGCTGACCTCTGTGGTGATTTCATGGGGCACTCTCAGGATTCCCAATCTCCTTGTTTCTCTTTCCTCCTCTTCTCCCACTACCAGGAATTGTTTTCTCGCCTTCCCCCGTTGCTTCTCCTCTAGGCCTTTCACTAATTCTCGGCCCACTTTGAAGCTCAACTCTGACGATGAATCCCCTAAAGAGGCAAGCATCACGTATTATTTCTGCTTTTCTTTGTGTTTTTTTCTCTTACTTCTACTAACCCTTATCTTTGATTTCTCCCTATATGCTCAGATAGTCATTTTTTGAAAGCAGAGTTACTGTTTTACCTATGGATATCTATTTTCAGTTTGATTACATTTCTCTGTGTTCTTGTTTATTCAAAATTTCATTGATATGGTGTATGACTATGCTTGGCTACAACGAATAGCAACCGAGTGAATGGAGAGTTATGAAAGGGAGAGAGAGGAGGATAAAGCTTGAGAGGAGAAAGTACAGGTGAGAGCCAGTGGAGAGCCATGAGAAGAGAGGGACACTAAACACTGAGGGATAGAGGAATATAGAGAGTGAATCAGAAGTGGGAATGGTGGAAACTAGTGTTTCAAGACTCGGCTGAGTTACTCGGCCTCGCCATAAGGGCGAGGCAAGTTCTATCCTAGTAGGTTGTACTGAATTTTCGATAATAAATATATATTATTATGTCCATTGTATGTGCTTGAATGACCTTCTTAGCTTACACGTGCTTTTTGAGGTGATTAGGATTTGATTCATCTAAGACTTTTTTTTTTTTCTTTTATTTAGGGCCTTAAAAAAAAAAAACAAAAAAAAAAGAACAAAAAAAAAAAAAAAAAAAAACAAAGAAAAAAAAGAATCGTGGGCTTCGAACTCCATGGGCTCTTAAATGAAACGTACAAAGGTGGAAAGCCCAACCAATATGACATCCAACATGTTATTATATAGTTATACAGGTTAAAAATATTGACTTTTAGACAATTTTTTTACTTTTTTGTTCTTTATAAAGAAGAGCTAAAAAAATAAATAGTGCTCCTGGGAATTGAACCCACAAGCTCTTATAGAGCAACATGTGAAGGCTAATGAGCCATCCAATACGGCATTCAATGACTTATGCTAAAGTGAGGCAGGTTATAATATTTATTATGTCTTTTGTTTTGTTTGTGTCTTTTATTTTGGTGAACACGACTCGGACAAGTTATTAAGACTCGGCTCAGAGACTCGCCTCGGCCATGGTCCGAGTACCTTGGCCGAGTCGTGTTTTAGAACACTGGTGGAAACTATGAAGGTCAGAAAGGAGATGTAAACTAGGGGTGAATGGAAAAATAGGATAAAAGGAATAGGTACATGGCTCGAAAGAGAGTCTAGAGTCTAGATAGGGGAGCAAGGAAGTAAAGGGCAAGAAAGAGAGATTGGAGAGGTGTTAGCGAAGGCATTCTCCTGTCAAGCTAGAATGAGGCGAGGAGTGGAACCTTTGAGGGAAAGAGAGGAGGGAATTCACAAGATACCTTGTGGTAAGACTGCTATGCCTGAAGCACCTTCCTTTGCTAGCCTGCCAGAAGTTGTGTCGTCGTCTCTCTTGATTTGTCTGAAAGTCATTTGAATGGCCCTGTCAGGAAGTCAATGTGATCAATAGTGTGAGCTAATCTCTAGGGGTCTGAGCGCCTTGGATGCCCAAGCAATGGTATTTCTGTAATCTCATTTGACTATGAGGCTCTTGTGTTTGGAGGCTACAGGGATGGACTTTTTAAGACCCTCTAACAGAGCCACCACTTCAGAAGTATATGAATCCACGAAGCTAGAGTTTGAGAACGAAGGATGGATCCTCTTGCTATTAGCAAGAATACCACCAAAACCCAAGGGGCCAAGGTTTCCTAGTGAGCAACCATCACTATGCAGCTTGAGAGAACTAAGACGAGGGGGAACCCATATTGCTCAAATCCAGTGTTTTGAAACACGACTCGGCCAAGGTACTTGGATCTTGGCCAAGATGAGTTTCATGGCCGAGTCTGAGTAACTTGCCTGGGTTGTGTTCATTTTAAAAAAATACAAAAACGAAAAAAAAAACATAATAAATATTATAACATGTCTCACTTTAGCATAAGCAATTGAATGCCGTATTGGTTGGCTCACCAACCTTTGTATGTTGCGTTGTGAGAGCTCATGGGTTCAATTCCCACAAGCGCCATTCAATTCCCACATGTTGGATGTCATATTGGTTGGGTCGTTTGCCTTTGTACGCTTCATTTAAAAGTTCATGGGTTTGATTCCCGCGATCCCTTTTTTTTTTTGCTCCTATGAAAAAGAAAAAAAGAAGTCTTGCTCGAGGGGAATCGAACCCTAGTCACTTTGAAAGCATGCACTTATGCCGTTCAAAAGGCCATTCAAGCATTTATGACATACAATTGACATAATAATAATATATATTTATTATCTAACAGCCTACTCGGATAAAACTCCCCTCGCTCCTAGGGCGAGGCCGAGTCTCAAAACACTGCTCAAATCCTAGGCGATGTCTGGAAGGACAACAAACTTTCTCAATTATTAGGGAAAGTAGAGATACCTAGGTTGCTACAGACAGGCAGCTTCTAGGTTTAGAAACAAGTTCTACTATGATGGAGTCATATAGAGATTGAGTTTGAGTAGGAGAGCTGCGAAAGATAAACGCATTTCTCTCCTTCCAAACCCTCCTCAGCAGAGAAAAGTCTCCCATAACCCAAAGACTCCTACCATTTTTAGGAAAAGGGAGAGAAGAGAAGGCCAAAAACAAGTAGTGATATGGGAAGTGGGGTTACCCAAAGAAAACCAAAAGGACAAAGCAGTCTAGACCACGGAGTGTAGGTGACCTGCAAAAAGGTGATTAGAAGACTCCTCTTCCTGGTGGCAAAGGGAACAATGATCGAGGAGCTGCAGACCTCTCTTTTGAAGTTAGTCAGCAATAAGGATCTTACCATGAGCTAGGATTCACGCAAAAGCATGGACCTTATGTGGCACAAGGGCAGATGAAATTTTGTTAAAGAGAGGACAAGAGTCATGTGGAGGGAGGAGGGAAGAGTAAAAGGAAGAGACATGGAAGGATCTTGAGGGAGAGGGAGAGGGAAGAAGTTTGAGAGTCTGTGATGCCTCTCCTGAATAAGGAAGTCCACACACACTAAAGAATTTTCCTTTTGCTCTACATACTCAGCAATTGTGGCTTCCTCATTAGAGACAATGGAGAAAAGTGAGGGCCCCAAAGTTTGGTTCCCAAATCATCGATCTCTCTAAAATCTAAGTCTCTACCCGTTGCCTATTTTGAATCTAATGTTTTTAAAAAGTCTTCTACTCTTAGCAATACTGGTCCACGCCCTTGAAGCTACACGTCAGGGAAGTTGGTAAGCCCACCACCATCATCCAATCCATATTTAGCTTCAATGACCTCCTTACAAAAGGTTTACCTTACTAGTTGTAAACCTCCATCCCCATTGTCCTAGTAAGGCAAGATTATTTTCATTGATTCTCCCTATCCCCAACCCACTGATTTTTTGGAGCACAAACCTTGTCCTAGGCAATCAGGTGGAATTTGTCGCCCTCTAAGGCCCCAGACGAAAGGAAGTTCCTCATTAGCTTCTCTAGCTTGGATGCTACAGGGAAGGAATACAGAATATTGTAATTCGGACATTGGCCAAGGTCTCTTTTATGAGGTCGATCCTGCTTCCCAAAGAACGCCCTTTCCATCTGGCTAACCTCCTATTGAATTTGTCAACTCCTATATTGTAGAGGTGTTTTCTCGGTTTTCCTATGCAGAGAGGAAGTCCAAGGTAGTTGGGAGGGAAGGCTTTTATATGACAACCCAAGTGGTGGTCAAGTTCACTGATGTCATGGGCTCCTATCTTGATCCCTAACATCATAGTTTTAGACATGTTGACCTTCATTCCCATGGAACCATCAAAACTTCTAAAGAAGAGCTAGAGGTTATCCAATTGGGTAGCTTCAAAAGATTAAAAATGTCATCTGCAGAAAGGAGGTGGGAAATTTTGGGGCCATTGATGGAGGTTTTGAAGCCCTCGAGGATACCTAGACTTTACAGTCTTGAGATGGATTTGAAAAAGAGTTCGTCCATAATGGTGAACAAGAAGGGAAATAATGGTTCACCCGGTCTAAGACCCCTAGATCCTGGAAAGAAGTCTACCAAATAACTTCCTTACCTCTAATGGGTCATTTTGAACCTTAGGATATACACATTCAGGTTTTGTACATCCAGGTTTTGATGGCTTAAGGTCGTTTGAGTGTAGTTTTCGAGATCATATCTTGGATATCCACATCCTCAAAACCACTCATATCCAGCATTTGCTCATTCCAAAAGAAAATTGGAATGTGCAAATGCAAGGTTTGGGATAGCTAGCTTTTGCATTGGGGCACGTGCCTCCTTCCCTTTTTCTTTATCCCTCTTCATAATAATGATATTCATAGTTATAATATGTTATATTTAATATTTATTATTATTATTACAATTATTATTGTTATTGTTATTTCAAATATTAGTCATAAAATATCATCAACATTATTAATATTAGTACTAATGTAATAATATTATATTGTAATCATAGTTATATTTATATTACTATATAATTATTATAATTATGATATTATTAGCTATAATATTTATATGTATTATCATTTTTATAGTATTTATTACGAAATATCATCAACATTGTGAATATTAATACTATTATATTTTAATGATATTATATTTTAATACATATTATTAAAATATAGTAATACTATAATATAATTTATACTAATAAAATGATATTTTATTATTATATAATAGGATATGTTATTATATAATTGTTGTAATTGTGATGATGATGATGATGATTATTATTATTAGTATTATTAATTTATTATTATTAGCTGTCTTATGATTAACATTATTGTTGTTGTTATTGTTGTTGTTGATATTATTACTATTATTATTTATAAAATATCGTCAACATCATTAATATTAGTATTATTATATTTTAGTATAATTATGTTATATTGCCAGAACCTGGTTTTACATTTAAATGAACCAAACAGGGGATGTGTTATACATGCCAAGTTAATCCAGAAGGTACCCAAACGACATTAATCCTTAAACCATGTTTTACAAGTACTGGAATTTGTATACCCAGGATTTGATGCATAACCAGGTGTTGCAAATTCTGGACCCCAAACGACTTATAAATGAATGTGAAATGAGGTGCTAGCAAATTTTAGCCAATTAAGCCGAATTCTCTAAAAGTTATGGGCTTGAACTAATCAGAACCTTTCATTGCTTGTGCATGAATGGATATGTTTCTTTCAATTAGTGCTCTACCTAAGTATTTTCTTGTTGCCAATACCTAAGTATTTTCTTGTTGCCAATGAAGGTGATGCTGATACGGCTGAATATTAATTACAGGGTATTTTAGAATCTGGTCTGTATCTTGTAGCAACTCCAATTGGCAATCTTGAGGACATAACTTTGCGGTATGTATTTGAGCTCTATGGATTAGTGTTGTCTCAATGTTAAATAACAATCTATTACTTTGCTCCAATATAATATATGCTTTTCCACATTGTTGTGAGCTATTGTTCCTTTATTTCGTGATGAACCTGATGGGTGGTTGCATTCCAACAATTTGATGGATTACACTTTCTTCATTAGAGATTATGCTAGTGACTGGATGTGGTAAGTATTAGGTTTAAATATTTTATGGAAAAAAGAACAGAATTAGTTTGTAATCAGGAAGAAAGGATGCATTGTCTCTCTTGTGTTATCATGATTAACACATGCTATTGAGCTAAAGTATGAGTACATGGAGTACATGACATGTTTAAGGACTGTTTCACCTTCTAGCTTCATGAAGAGTTCATGCACTCATGGATGACTACCAGACTCATCTCTGTAATTCATCATTTCCTGTAAGCAAAGGCGTGCTTGCTTTATTCATTAGTGTGAGCAACACGTTATGGTATATTGGGGGATTATTGTGACAATGGAAACTGTCGAGTTAAAGGAGCTAAGCTTAATATCATAATAGATTATCAAACACAAACTTGTCTCACATTATTGTGACTTGTGACAAGTGAATCTCATGTTGCCTTCATATGATGGGCATAAACTTTCCCACGCAGCATAATTCGTGAAGTTTATGGCGGTCCTGATACCTTTGATCTTGTACACCTATTTTGTGCAATGTTTTATTGAAATGACTCTATATTAATACGAGTAGTTAATATTGTAACGGATTGTAGCAGTCAGTAAGTTCAGATATTCCTTGTGGAAATCCCTTCTTGTCTTGCCACTCATCCATCTCAACATCCTCATCCCATCTACACTTATCCTATGGGTAATGTTGTTTCTTGACTGCTAAACATCCCACCCCATAAAGCAAAGTTGGTCTCATAGTTGTCCTATAGAACTTGCCCTTCAGCTTCATTGGTATGCGACAATCATATAAAACTCTAGTTGCACATCTCCACTTCGCCGACCCAGCTCTAATTCTGTGTGCGACATCTTTCTCAATCTCTCCATTTTTCTGGAATATCGACCCAAGGTATCCAAAGTGTGCGCTTTTTGGTATGTCTTGGCCGCCAATCTTAACTACTTCCTTGTCTCTATTGTATTATTTGTAAACTTGCATTCTATATACTCACTATTAGTCCAGCTAATTTTAAAACCTTTAGATTCTAGAGCATCCCTCTAAAGTTCTAACTTCGTATTGACGCCGCTTCAGGTCTCATCAATCAAAACTGGCGTTTGCAAACAGCATGCACCATGGTACCTCATGTTGTAGGTGTTTAGTTAAGTCGTCCATAACTAAGACAAAGAGGTATGGGCTCAACGCTGACTCCTGATGTTGGCATATTGTCACTAAAAACTCACTTGTCTCTCCACTAGTTGTCTGGGTACTAGTAAACACTCGCTCATACATATCTCTCACCAAGTTGATATAGTATCTTGAGACTTCTTTCTTTTCCAACACCTACCAAATTAAATCTCGAGGTTACTTTTTACCCTTTTTTGGTTAAATGCTGATATTCCATTATAACTTCCATTATTATTGTAAGTCAGGCCTTTTGCCATGCTCAATTCCAAAAGGCCTTTTTTTAACAATTACAGCGATGATATCGGGTTTTTATTTAAATAATTGAATAATTTCAAAAAATGAAAATAGTGATTTTCATAATAACAGACGTGATAGCCGTTATTTTGAAAAAATGTCCTTGTTGTGAAAATAAGTAATTTATCTTGAACAAAAATTGAAAATAATGATTTTCATAATAATAGAATTGATAGCCGTAATTTTGAAAAAATGTCCTTGTTGTGAAAATAAGTAATTTATATTGAAGTTATTTCCCCATGAGTTTCTTCATTTCCCAGTTCTTTCCCCTTCTTTTCAAGTTATCAGAATAACATAACTAATAGCCTTTTAAATTTTTTACAATTTTTTTTCCATTTTTGGTTAAACGTAAATTTCTCTGACATAACACTTCAACATTATAGCATGGAGATGTACGAAACCCATCCCATTCTGCTATACCAATTTTTTAAATTGTGGTTCCAAAAAAAATCCTAAAAGTACAATTTGAAGACCTATTTAATGTTTGGTTTTTAATCGACGCTGTTTGTATAAGTACATTCAACTGCAGGTCAAAGTTACAAGGATATCTATCACATCGTTTGTTTCCATTTCATGATACCCACATATGACATTTTCCCCACAGCAAGGAGTGTATAACAATAAACAATAAGCAATTTTGTCAAGTTTGAAAGTGAATGAAATTCAAGAGCTAAATATCAAAGGGTGGAGAAATTGTGGGTGATAATGCATATTCTCGTAGGAAACTGGCAGTTTGGTAAAAAGTCATGTTTGTAAAAAAGAAAAATAAAAAGAAAAAATAGAAGGGTAAAGTTGGGGAATTTCTCATGTGGAATGTCATGTCCTTTTTGGGTAAGTATACTATAACCCAGTGGACTGTGGAAAACCGTAATCTATTGGAGTTGTAATCTTCCAGTGAAATGATGAATGATGACGGGAGAGAGAGTGGGGCCCGATTATCGACATGAATATGTCATTTGGTGGATCCCAATCTCTCTATCCCCATCCATCCCTTTGAACGGTGATGACCCCAATGGACTATGATTATACCATAGTGTTGGTTTATTTATATAATATACTTATCCTTCCAGTTTCTCTGTAATTTTTATGTTTTCTCACTTATATCTGCTATTTGATTTAGACCTGGTTTTGTTGATTCAGTGCATTGCGAGTTTTAAAGACAGCTGATGTAATATTAGCAGAAGATACGAGACATTCAGGCAAGTTGCTTCAGCACTACAATATTAGGACTCATCTTGTAAGTCGTCTCAACATGTTTTGGTTGGATTGTTTTGTGGAGATCTCCAGTGATTGACTAGTTGTCTCTGTGATGGCTGGTTTACTATTCTGTGTGTATAGCTGAGTTATCACAAATTCAATGAGTCCCAACGTGAAGCAACCATCTTACAGAGGCTGCAACAAGGAGGTGTTATTGCATTAATTAGTGATGCAGGGACACCAGGCATTAGTGATCCTGGGGCTGAGCTGGTTAGTATTTGCTTCTGTTGTCCTTCTTTTATGCATGCGCCCTATAATAGTACTTGGGTTTTCCGCCCTTCATTCTATTCTATATTAGTGGCCCTAAGCATATCATCTTTTTAATCACGTTCATTTCCCTGTTATTTCTGTTCTTGCTCCAGTCATAAAATGTGTATATGCCTTTCACGTTTTTGCAGGCAAAAATGTGTGCGAGTAAAAACATTGCTGTTTTTCCTGTTCCGGGCCCCTCTGCTCTAATAGCTGCCCTTTCTGCCTCTGGTTTGAGCACCAACGAATTCACTTTTGGTAATCACTCTTCTTACATATATTATGCATTGGAAGTTGTATTAAATGTTCCTTTTGATGACACAGATTTGCATTTGAATTATTCTACTGCTCAACTAGTTAGTATTTCCATAAGGTAGCCATTCTTCATATCAACAGTTGGATTCTTACCTAAGCATGCTGGTTCAAGAAGAAAAAGGCTAATCGCTTCAGCAGATGAAACTGCGACACAGATATTTTATGTTCCTCCCCATTCCTTTCATCAATGCCTTGAAGAAATGGCATCTATATTTACCGACTCCAGGTGAGGTTTATGGGTGAAATTTATTCTAGTCTTGTAGATTGTCTTATTTCAGTAATCAGCAATGTTTGTGTGTTGATAACATCATAAAGGGCTAATGAATCTAGTGCTTATAAACATATATGATAAAGATTATACCTAACTTCTTGAAAGTTTTTGCACCAGATGGAACTTATTTGTTGATCTCCTTATTTAATGGGTCCATTTACTAACTACAGTACCTAAGTATATCTTGCCTGGATATAAGCGGCTCCCCAAAGTGTCCATTGTCAACAATGGACAGTTGGGGACTGTCATTTTTCTGCTCAAATTTCTGACAGACTTTGAGGAGAGAATGGCACCCCCCAACCGTTCATTGTTGACTTCAGAGGGTTTGAAAAGTTGTCATACTCAAATGCGTATAAAGAAGTACTATCGAATATTTCCCTAGTGTTAGCATGAGGCCCCACCTCATTCAACAACAAAAACTAACCACATCTTTTTGATGGATCGAAGATCCAAATCTATTTTAAACACCTGCAAATCCATTTCTGCACCAGAACACATGTTGAGATGACATTAAAGAGGGAGCATTTTTATGGCCCCAAATCCATTGATCTTGATCTCAGCAGTCAAGAGGATGGATTGGCAGATATTTTTTGGTTCTCAATCATCGGAAATATAGACAAGTGAGGAGGTGCCACAAGTCAGCGGAGGCCCCTGTCTCACCAATTACCTTCCTTTATTTATTTTAGCTTTTTATTTCTTTCTTTCTAACTTAGCTATAGTATTTTATAGGAACAACAGGAAAATGCAAAAGATACATGCCTTGAATAATTATGAATGGTCCAATGAATCAATTGATCATCTCTGAACACTTCTATTTGCAGATACTCTCTGTGGCTCTCTCTTTTTGTTTGGCTAATGCACTGTTTCGTTAATCGTGTAAACTTTACAAATATATGTATTTGATCCCTGGATAACAGGTGTTGCAAAAACTTTGCTTCTAAACAGTACTGAAGAGAAAAGGTAATTGAATTACAAAATTTCCCAAAGATGAGATGTCATGGGTTTGGAGTAGAAGCTTCCAAATGTATTCGTAGATCGTAGGCGCCCAACTTCTTTTTGCTGAGTCAGCCTCTACAGTTTCTTCCCTCCAAGTGTGCCTGCTAAGGGCAAGGAGATCTTTTGTTTTTCGAAGAAGTCATGTTTGCTGAATTGCTTTCGAAAAATAGATTGGTGCTCAAGTTCTTTCCAACCAGCAGGTCTAGTGTTTCAGCTTCAGGGGAGTCACAAAGTCTAGCTGGTCCTGCATATGATGCTGTGTCTGCCATAGATGATCTGGAAAGGTCATCTAACAGCAGCTGGGCATGGGTTTGCCTCTGAACTAGTGTCAAGGCGCAGTTTAGTGGTGCCTCATGAGGGGGATATCCAATGTGAGGATTTGTTAGTTGCTGAGGTTGGGAATGGATGATGTTTTTCACTGACTATTAAATAACCAAGGCTGAGTATTCCTTGAACCCTTTTCTAGTGAGTGCCTGAGTGTGATAAGGGCTCTAATTCGGGCAATCAGGTAGGGGTCCTTGAGAATTTGCCTCTTGAAGTTTGGGCATTGCTTTCTAGCCAGATTGTTCAGCTGAACAGTATGACGCTGATCTGCCATAATACCTGTCCATTTTTGGGTAGGCAGCAACAGGTAGTATTGTAGAAGTTTGGTAAAAGATTTTGGGCATGCCCAGGTGATGCCGAACAGTTGAAGAAACTCTAACCATATTCTTACTGCTATGGTACACAGTTTAGGAAAAGGTAACTGTTTGATTCCTCCTCTTCTATGAACATAAACAGCTGCTAGGAATTTGCATTCCTCGATGCAATGCTCAATAGTTAAAGCATTATTTAAGGCCACCAACCAACTAAAAGCTTGAGCCTTACATGGGGCTGATATGGCCCCAATTCGGTGAGCATTTGGAGGTCTAAGATTATTAGCATTGGTAATTGTCTGTTTGAGCCCGTCGTTCTACCCAGTCCTTTTGGCAGCAACCCTGTGGGTTTGATCCCTTTATGTCCAATCAATGTTTCACAACAGTTCTCCTGGTGTGTGGCGAAGCGCCACAGTGGGTTTTTTCAGTCTTCTAATGCCCAAACCTCCTTTTATTTTTAGTTGGCATTCATTGTCCCACTTAACTAAGCCGAACTGATGCTCCATGTTCCATAGGAATTCTCTTTGAAGTTTTCGAGTTTATGTACAATGTTTGCAGGCATGTGAAGCAAAGACATTTGGTACTTCATTATGCTCGCAAGCATGACTTTGAATAGGCGCAAACCTTTCCAGGATGGCAAGGCCAGGAAACATCCAATTTGGTGAGGATAGATCCGTCTGGCGATTGGACCAAGTACATATGGTGCCATTGAGGGGGGAGGTATGTCAGCTCGTGTCTCTTGATTAGTGAAGTAAGTCCTTCTCCATGCTTCTGGTTCTGGATCAACCACAGATGACCACAGATCTTGCGAATCTCAGCAAAATTTGGGACCTCCTGTATCTTTTCTGTGATTGCCATGATGTCACATGTCAGGTTTGAATTTTGGGGCTAAGTTTTCAACGGGTTTTTTTCTAGATGGGCTCGTTCAATCCCCAGATATTCCATGCTATGATCTCATTGGGAGGGGTAATTTGTTTGGTTCAACGGTGAGACAGGCCTTTGCCCCTGGTTGCAGAACTCTGGTGTGGTATATTTGAATTGGTATTGGTATTGCTGTTTTCCCATAGTTGATGTTGTGAGTCAAACTTTTGAGCTCTTTCTTCCCCTTCTCCCCTCTCCAGCTTTTTTGTGGTTATCTGACTGTTCTGTAGTGGCATTTGCTGGAAAGGTTTTACATCCAGCTGTCTGTTCTATGATAGACCCTGTGATCTCTATGGCTCTTTTTCCGGATTTTGTATGTCAAGGATTTGAAGGGCCATGTATCAACTCTCCAGTGTAAGCAATGCCTTTGGATTATAATCCCAACTATTTTCTGCAAGAGCAAGCAGATCTCAGTAAATCCTTATCACTTTCTCTTCAGGCTCAGAGTAAAGGGTGCAGGTTTTTGATGTTGGGTATCCCTGGCTAGTCAATCAATAGAAAGCTCTATAGCAAGTGTTACTAGGTTTTACACTCCTTAACAAGTCTCTCCTGAATGAATTATGAACATATTGCATTTGGAGTTGTGATAGACTTATTGATTATTTGGTTTGGATAATCAATGATATATTTTTGCCATGTTTTGTTCTCATCGTAATGTTGGTTGCGCCCATAATGGATAGGAGTTCTTAATGGTGAAAAAGATTATGGTAATGAATGTTCGGAATTTAATTGTGCAGGAGTTGTGTTGTTGCTCGGGAACTAACAAAAGTTCATGAAGAGGTATAGTTCCACTCTGCATCAATTTCCCTACATTGTGCTTGAAAACCCTTAATGTTGGTCACAATTTTGAAAAATGTATTCTTGTAGCACCTGGTGCTTTTATTTAGGGTAAATTTGCGTATTTTAGATGTGGCCATCTTTTTTAGTAATATTTTTGCATGTTCTTCAAATTACCTTCAATATAATTGCATCCCAGTCTTTTCTTTTGTTTGATATGTTCATGGTGGGAATGGAGGGTGGGACGTTATGTTGAGGCATCTGCCCCCCTCGCAACCAATGCCCCAACCCCATTTCAATTGCATGCCATTTTTTCTAACCAATGACGAATATTATATTTTTGTTATCATTCTCGTCCTACCTGACTGAATCCTGACAGTTATCTCCATAAAATGGACACTCATACACCACATTCTGACGATTAGTAGTTATTCCAGGGCCAAATCAATATGTAGGCTCTTCTTTTTTTAGAATAATGGCAAAAAAATCAAAATATCAACTTGGTGAGTCATGTAATGAGCTCAAGTTGGCTCAATGACAAACCATGAATATTTATATTGGCTTCTCTCTCTCCATCCTTCCGTTTGTAAAATCTGTCTTCATGATTTATAATTTTGTACATGGTTTGATCTGGTATATGCCTTGAAGTTGCTTCCGGAATGCTTCTTACTAACCTAGATGCCTCTTTTTAGTTTTGGAGGGGCACTTTGGGGGAAGCAAAGGATGCCTTTTCTTCTCGTCAACTGAAAGGGGAGATTACGCTCTTGATTCAAGGGCAATCCAGTCTGGCTTCTGATAATAAATCTGAAGCTGAAATTGAACATGAACTTAGAGAACTAGTATCCAATGGTCAGAGCCTTTCCATGGTAATTGTTTATATTAAATTTCCCAAATAGTTACTCTGCTAGTTTAGTATGGCACATTCCTTAGCCTTACCACACCCATCTGCATGTTTAGTTTTTGGTATTCAGATCATGACAGTTTGGTGAGTCTTTCATGTGGTATTTTGTTCATTTTCATAGTCTAACCATGATGGTGAGTCTCTCCTTGCATAAAGGAATTTATGAATTGTTTCTTTTTTTTCCCTGGTCTAATGACATACAGGCGGTGAAGTTGGTGTCTCAAGGATCATCTGTGAAAAGAAAAGCAGTGTATGCATTGGCATTGAGGATATTTGGGGAAAAACTCTAGAGAATTGTTCGAGTAAGACTGCTTGAGGTATCACAGAGAGCGACATTATTGTAGAAAATTAAAGCCCTACCTCTCTCTCTCTCTCTCTCTCACTCTCTCTCTCTTTCTCTTTCTCTCTCTCTCAGCCAGCACTTAAATTGCATTGAAAATAAATTGAGGAAAAAGCGGGTATCCTAATTGTATTAATTAAGAACTGGATGAATCGACGCGAGAGACTCCAACGAAGCTCCTTTGAGACCAATTCAACACATACTACAGAAGGCTTAAAACCCGGAGTTTGGAATTGATAGTGAACTGGGTGTTGATTAGAAAGGAGTGCCTGGGTATCTTAAAGATCTGATATATTAGGCAATAAGTTGTGAAGATGGGCATACATAAAAGGAGGGTGGATGTAAGATGGGCATACATAAAAGGAGGGTGGATGTCTTTGGAAGCCTCCTTCATGAGGGACCACTCAATTATGATGGAACCTCCAAGGATAACCCTAGTCCTATCAGTATTGGAGGACTGATAAGAGAGTCTATGGGTAATGCACTGACTATTGATTACTTATTTGGGACCATGTAGATCGACAACAGCAAATGAGGCAAAACTTGGAGCTATCCTCCAAGTCTTGAAGATTATATAGGCTAATCAACTTGGAACTGTCATAATTGTTGGAAGGGACTCTTTGAAAATTGTTGAATGGTGCAAGATTGAACAAAGGTTCCCTTGGAACTCGAGATCGATGTGGTTCGAAATTCGGGATAGCTGTGCTAGTTTAATAGTTTGTTTAGAGGTTGTTTGGTTTGTGTAAAAGTTCTTTCCTAAATGGAGATTTCACACATTGGATAGTCTGCCGATGAGAAAGTAGATGTGTACCTCATTAAAATTTGTTTTTTATGATACTTCCCATATTAGTGAAATTTAAGTGATTTTGTTCAAAAGAAAAGATGTATCTTTTTAATCTTTATTTTCCTTTTGTGAGACGTTTGCAAATAGTAAAACAGTTTTCCTCAAATACCCCTTGGATTAGGACTTTCCAAGAGGGATAAATTTGACCTTGTTGAAAGATTTAACTTTTGATTTCAGAAATTCATAAAATTGTTTGAAAATTCATTCTCGAATTTAAAATTTTAAAAGTGGTATAGATTAAGTAGATATATGAATATTTAAAACTCTTGAAAATAGATGGTTTAAATAATTTATTACAAGATATGTTATGTTTCTTTCTATCGAAATATCTCAATGTTGAGATGATCTGAAAGATTTTCGAACTTTGAAATACGCTTTTCTACGGGATCTTTGGGGTGACCTAATCTATGGTATAAGGTTAGCTCATAAACAAAGCAAGGGCTAAAAAGGGCTTGTAGGAATGACAAATATTTCCTCCAAGCCAATTGTAAAGGTAGTTTCAAGATCGTACAAATTATAAAAGGGTGTGGTTTGCATAAGGTTTCAACCTTAAATAATCAAATTGCGGTGCACCCCAAACTTTCAGTGACATTTTTGGTGTCGAAAATTCTTAGGATGGTATGAAATCTAATTTTATCTTTATTTATAAAATTTTAAACTCTAAAAATAGTTCAAATCAAGCAAATCTATAAGCTCGTGAAAATGGACCTTCCACATAATGTGTTGCAAGATGTACTATATTTAGGATTTGAAATCTCTTTTTTTCTTAGTATCTATACATTTTGATGTCGAGATGTTCAATTAACATTAAGGATTTGAAATCTCTTTTTTTCTTAGTATCTATACATTTTGATGTCGAGATGTTCAATTAACATTAAGACAATTTTTTCTAAAGATTTTAGAGATGTATCTTTATCCGACATTTTAAGGTGTCAACTTTAAACTTTTTCTATCATAAGGTGATGGTGTAAGGAATGGGCTCTAGCTTAGGTAGTCAGGATGGCAGGGCTCTGCAAGCATTTGCCTCTTCTTTTTTTAATCTTTTTTCAGAAGCATTTGCCTCTTCTTTTTTAATCTTTTTTCAGAGATTTAGACAAGAGAAATGACAGTCCAAACCGCCTAGTCTTACATCTCATAAGTAGATGGTCTTATCTATCTTTTTGTCTAAAATTAACTGTATCTTTGTGAATAGAAAAAGCCCAAATAAAACACATGATCCACTGCGAATACAAATACAAACAAAGACTAGAATCAGATTTGACCTTAAGTGCTTAGTGGTACAACGTCTCATGTTCAATTCCTTTCTATCACTGAACTACTCAAGAAAAAATATTGTGATCTCCACCGTTCATCAGCCTTAATAAACTTAATCACGGGCCAAGTTAATGGACGGTGGAGATGAGCGACAGCATTTGACAAGCATTTTGTCTCTGAAGCCCTAATATAATCTCCCATTGACATGAAAACCTTTCCCTTTTTTATGCCCCCAATTGCTATATTTTGGTAAACCCGAAAACAGAAAAATTGTGCCATTTATGGTGCAATTAATTGGACAATCCAAGTCTCTAGTAAATTGTCTTAGAAAATAAAAAAATATTTGTTTTCCTTATCTCACAACACCAAAAAATTACAAATAAGAACCAAATATTTGCAAAACGGCATGAGCACTCTCCACAAAAAAAAAAAAAAAAATCCCGTGGCCTTTTACTCCTTCAGTGTAACACCCCAATGCTTTATAGAGGTCAATGTGTAGAGCTCCTCATCAAAACTAGAAAGAGAGAGCAAAACTAGGGAGAGAAACTGTGTAAAGCTCTGCAACAAAACCATTTAGGCTTTGATTGAGGGGTTGTGTAGGAAAAATGTTGTGATGGTGGTGTACGTTGTATTTGTTCCTCTTCCTCCTCTTAGAACTTGGAGAATCACAGTCGTCGCCTTTGCTCAAATCATCCACACTCTCCACATCTCCAATGGACGCAAAAGATTGAGACTTGCCAGAAAAGAACTTGGACAAACCCCTCCTACACAGCCAGAAAAAACCCATGTCAAAAACAAGAACAAAAACCAACAAAAAAAAATTGCATTCTCATTCACAGTTTCTAACGAGAGGAGAGAGAAATCACTAACAAAGAAAGAGGGAAGTCAGTTTTCTCTCTCTTACTTGCGAGGCAGACTTAATCACTAACAAAGAAAGAGGGAAGTCAGTTTTCTCTCTCTTACTTGCGAGGCAGACTTAATCACTAACAAAGAAAGAGGGAAGTCAGTTTTCTCTCTCTTACTTGCGAGGTAGACTTTCTCTGAGAGAACCCATGTCGAAAACCGGCTTCTCGAACATGTCCACCGTTTCCTGACCGGAATTTGTTGCACCCTCCATTGTGACACAGTGAATGATGAGAGACAGAGAGGTTTTATAGAGAGAGAAAGAGGTTTTAGAGAGAGGGGTGGGGTTTTAAAGTAGGGAGGAGAGAGACATATGGGGACATGGGGGTGGACAACGTGGTTATAAGGAAGGAATGGAAGAGAAACGGTTGGAGGAGGAGGAGGAGGAGGAGGAGTTACAGGGTGTGGAACCACGTGTTAAGATTGGGAGAGACAATCTCTACTTGGCTGAGGAGGAGTTTGTGGGTCCATTCGTTGCGAGCTGCCTCACCACTTTTGGATTTGCACATGACTTGGATCCACATCTCCTCACATTTATTTTCTATCTCTCTACAACCTTATCTTTCCCCATATTCCTCTCTCTCTCTCTCTCTCTTTCTCTCTCTCCATATTCCTTTGCAACCTTATCTATCTCCTATCTCTTGTCCATATTCCTTTGACAATGACCCGGAATTATTATGATAATTCGAGCTCTATCAAAACAAGTGAAGCACATTTAAGCATGGGAAAAGTTTATTTAGAGCTTAGGCTCTAAACAATCAAATTAAAGTCTACCTCAAAAAATTAATTGTTTTGATGCTCAAATATCATCAAATTGATCATCTCGACATCGAGATGCACGGATATAAGAAAAAAATGGATTTTAAGTTTTGGAAATAGTACATCTTGTAACGTATTTTGGGACCGTCAAATTTCAAGATTTTCAAGCTTTCATAGATTTGTTCGATTTACACTATTTTTGAAGCTTTAAATTTTATAACTACAAATAAAAATATAATTTAAGGCTATCACAAGACGTTCCTGTATTTAAACCATATTTCTCAACATTATTTGAAGGTGTATTCTAATTTGATTGTTTAGAGCCTCGGCTATATACAAACCGCACCCCATAAGTATTACAAAACCTTTACATCAATAATCTTGGCTTTGAACATTAAGGTTGTGAAAAAAAAAGGATTTCAAACTATAAAAATGGTGTATATTGTAACAAATTATCTAGATCGTCTATTTCTCTCTAAAAATAAGTGTTCATAGATGTACTACTTTTTGAGTTTTGAGAGTCATGGTCGGTGTTGAAAATTAATTTTGGAGTCATATCTAAAGTGGCTATATTGGAAGTATGCCCTTTGTGCCCTTTATTTTTGTAAAAAGGGCTAGCCTTTATGCCTTTTATTTTTGTGAAAAGGGCTTCGCTTTATGCCATTTATTGTTGTGAAAATCAATTTCCATGGCATAAAGCGCTTTGGGGGGAGGTGTATTTTAATTTCATAAAGCCTAGGTCTTATAGAAATGAAAGAAAGGTTTTTATACTTCCCCTATAGCATAGAAGTTTTCTCTTCCTCCTACCATCTATCTGTCCAATTTTGATCAAGAGAGCTACTCACCGTTTGATTTCAAAGTTATTTTTTTTTTTTTTTTTTATACAAATTCTATGAATATGAAATTTGGTATGTGCCATCTTCTCATTGGGACGCACCTATAAAAAAAATATTAAAAAGAATTTTTCAATAAAATATAATGATGAAAATACCCTTTGAAACTTTCAAAGATATTTTGGTCATTTTATTTTATTAAAAATATATTTTTTATTTATTTTTTACTACTGCGAGTTTAAAATATTTTTTTTATATTTTTTATAGAAAAAAACTAAAAATAAAATAGTATAAAGATATGACATTGTGATTGGGATAATTTTAACCCTTCATTCAAAATGGACGGTTGGATAAGAGAGAAGATGAAAACATAAAAAGCTGACCTATTTAATAATTCATTATCTTCTATCTGCTTGGACACATTTTTTCAGCAAGAAAGAGTCAACGGGGGGAGCAAGTGAATCTCAAGAAATATCTATTTTTAAGTTATTGATAAGACTTAACAAAGTTTTAGAAGAATTAATTGGCACATTTGATTTTTTAAGAAACTATAATTAGGCTAGATCTTCCTCGGGTAGCATAGATAACCTAAAATATTCATAGAGTAGCATAGATAGCCTAAAATATTCGTAGCGTAGCATAGATAACCTAAACTATTCGCATAGATAAAAAGGGTTAGAAGAGAGAGGGTTGGTAACAAAAATTGTTTTGACACCAACAACTCAATGAACATGGGTCGGTGATATTTCCTCTATTCAACAACAACATGTGTACATGTTTCATCTGTTTTTTATGAAAATAATATGTTGTTCCATGGGAAACTGAATTTCTAAATATTTTTCACAGATATCATTTAAAGCTTAAATATTTTTTCAGATAAATCGTTAAAGGATTAGTTTGCATGATTGCTACATTTACCGACATGTCAAAAAATCAAGCATCTATTTCATGTGCTCATGTGGAAGGTAGCATAGTTTTCCTTATTTATTTTTATTTTTGTGAAAAGGTCATATGCTTTTTTTGCGTTTTTTGTTTGACCCTTGATAAGTTAGGATCTTTTGAGTGGACGCAATTTGTAGTCTTCTTGTCCACACAAGAGGTGTGGATGCATCTTTCTAGATTTTGGGGTGATTTTTCTTATGCCATTAAACTATTATGACATAATTTTTGATGATTTTTTTATACGTCATTAAACTACCGGTGTATACAAAAAAAAAAAAAAACGATAAAGGTTTATGTGAGGCTTAGGCTTTATGAAAACAAAATAAAGCCTCATCTAAATACTTATCCAAAAAGTACTTTTAGTGATCGAAATCTTTATGCTTGCTCTAAAATCAATTTTCAATACCTACAATAGAATTTGAAATTCAAAAAATTATACAGATCTTATGGATCTACGAACACTTATTTTTAAAGCAAAATGAATAGTTTAAATAATTTATTATACTATTTACTATTTTTATAACTTGATATCTTAATTATTTTCACAATCATAATGTTCAAGTCGAAATGATCGATGTAAAGGTTTTTCAATGTTTGACTTGCAATTTTCAATTAATTAAGAAGTGAAAATTTAGGGCTGCAAGTCCTATTAAACTATTTTCCTTAAATATTCTCAATAGGCCTATAGTCCCCTATAAAAATAAATAGAATCTCACCTCAAAACTCACTGAAAGTAACAGTTCTAGCATTGAAAAACTTACCAATTGATCTCGGTCTTGACCATTACGGTGCAAAAAAAAATTTCAAACCCAAAAAAATAGTATATATTATAATATATTATCTACACCATCCATTAACCTTAAAAATAAGAGCTCACATATCCGCAAGACCTATACCATTTTTTGAATTTCTAATCTCATAATTATTGAAAATTGATTAAGGTGAAGATTTACTTTGTTTTCATGAAGCCTAAGCTTTATAGAAACCGCATCCTTTGCATATGCAATTTCACTCAAAAGACGTCCAACGCATGAAGAACGCAGAGCATTTGCATATGGACGCATGTAAACTATTGGAATATGCATGAAAGGCCAACAAAAGCATTCCTGTGTGTGCTTTATATATATATATATATATATATATATATATATATATATAAAGAGAGAGAGAGAGAAGGGTGCTTTCGCCAGAAACATCCACAAAAAGAAAATTGCTTTGATCAAGGCAAACCCGGGTTTGTGGAGTTCAAAGAAATGGACACAGGTTTCATGCCATGCAACATAGCAACATAGATCATCCAAAAACACCTGGATTTGGTGCTTTTTGCTTATTATACAGAGAGAGCGAGAGAGAGATAGTACAAACATGCATTTAATGCATTTAACAGAGAGGGCGAGAGAGAGAGAGAGAGTACAAACCGGAAACCACAGAGGGCTTTCACTCAAAGGGATGGACATCTCTTTACATATGTATCAATCCCCATTGATTCCAAAACTGATAAATGACTGAATAATTCATTGCAATGTAACTCTTTAGACTTAAATTACAGAGACTACGTCAGTTTGTCGATCAACCTCACCCCAAAATGAACTTCTCCCTTCATCATTTACAGTCGAAGGTTGATTTTTCCTGGATCCAAGAACTCAAGGGCGAAAGAATGCCCCAACTACTTTACAAAATTAGCATGGACAGATACATGTTCATCAGTTCATGACTCCACCAGATGTTTTACACCAACTTTGCTTTTTTCCTAACATCCTCGTTACAAGCTTTCATAACGACCACTTCATCGTCATGACCATCATCCAATTTTCCCACATCATTTGCCACATTGATGCCATCTTTTCCCTTGGGATCATGACTATTTGTGATTGATGTCTCAACCAACTTCCTCTTAGACCCTGCAAAGCGGTTAGACTCTTCGAGTACAACAATTTCTATCTCATCATCAGAATCGGATACAGTGGCTGGTTTTTCTTGGGGCGCCATGGATGTGCTTTCCTCAGTTGTAGCAACTTTAGACGGTTTCTCATATAGATCAGGTGTCAGTCCTAAGAGCACCATTCCTTCGGGTTCCTTCTCATCATCAAATTCTTCTCTGCGGAGTTCAAGAAAAAAACAGGCAGCGATAATTTTCAGCGCAGATGATATCCCAGTATTAAGAAACTCTCCCCCCCCCCTTCCTCTCCCTCTCTCTTTCTCTCATCATCAAGTTCTTCTCTCTATGATGTCCAAGTATTAAGAAACTCCTTCTCTCCCCCCCTTTCTCTCATCATCAAGTTCTTCTCCATATGATGTCCAAGTATTAAGAAACTCCTTCCCCACAGGCACCCCCAACACCCACCCCCCCCCAAAAAAAAAAAAACACAGGGCTCTCTCTCACAAACTTGAATCCTTCATCGATTCATGAATAATATCACAAAACCCACACACAGCATCTACACACGAGTGATCATATCATACAGCTCCTCTACATGCTCGTGCATTCACAAATGTAAGCCTTTGGGACGGCTTTTTAGTTCTCTAGGGATCCACAATAAATAATTAACCAGTGTGGTTAACTCAAAAGCTCTAATAAAAAAAAAAAATTTGTTTCTAGTGGAGAGGTGCAAGGACATTCTGTGACAATGAAGAGTCATCTTATATGAAATAATTTCATCAATCAACTATAACACAGTTTCTTTCTTTATATGCAACTGTCATGATACTGAAAGCAAAGAATGAAAATAATAATAATAATAATAATGTGATAATAATTATAATAATAATAAGGAAAATTGTTTCATGCGGGCTGGACTGCATTTCTACATATGCAGTCCAGAAAGTGTAAAGCATCCATCTTAAATATGGATGCAAGTAGGTGCTCCATCGAAAAACAATAGAAACTAATGGTCCAAATGTTTTCTCACTAGAATTATTATTTCTAGTTTTTAAAATTTATTTATTTTTTCATATTCATGATGTCTAACATATATATTACATGTCCTTAAAAATCAAGGCTTAAAATCCATCTCAAAAATAGATTTATTAAGAGGCCCGAATTTCTACATATGCGGGCTTGGCCGCATAGAAACCGTGTCCTAATAATAATAATAGCAGTTATAATAATAATAAGAGTTATGGAATACCTGTGTGTGATGTTGATACTGCATGTGAATTCTTGCTGAAAATCTTCAACAGTAAGGACTGTCCCACTAGTGACTGGAGAAGGAAGGTCACATAGTGCCTGCAATAAAGTAATATTTGTTGAGGAATTGTTTTTAATTTTTTTCTTAGGGCATGCACAATTGCCAAGTTTCCTAACCCCAAACCAATACTACAAATCTAAGAAGTTGGGAACACCATTGGAAATTGAAAACGCCCACTTCATTATAATGCCAATGGATTCTGCAAAACCATAATCCATTGGGGTTATCAGCATCCAATGAAATGATTAATTGCGATGGAAATATTGGAACTCACCAGAATAGGACATGACCCAATGGTGGATCCGCTAACTCCATCACTGTCCATAATTTCACTGGACATGGCAATGACCCCGATGCACTATAGTATTCCATATGTCATTGGACTATAGCATCCTTTCCTACTAAAAATAATTTGCAGAATCCTGGCAGATGAAGCAGTGAAACAGAGGGATGCACCTTCTCAAGATTGAGGGCATAATTGGCAACCATATCTTCTTCTAGATCATCACCAGTCTCAAATATCAAGGTAGACCCATGCATAATGATCGGCAAATTTACCCCAAGCTTATTTTTCACAATTTTCTCAACAATCTCCCGAAGCTTTGTCTTATGGGTATTGACCTCTAGTGTGAGGGGCATCTGTTTCCAAGCACATTGGGATAAGACTAGCATCTTTGAGAAACATTACTACCCAGTTGATATTAATTTTTAAATTTCCAAAGGAGCAGGTGAGATACCTCGGAACATACGTAACAGGATTTATTAGGCTCAAATGGCTCTACTGGCATTAGAAGCATCTTTTTCAAGGGATGCTCCACACAGTATGTCATTCTGCAGACATGGTTCACATAGAGATTCAACAATTTCTATAAAAGAATTCGACAGCAAAAAAAGCATAACCATCTTTATTAAAAAAAATAAAAAACGGATAAACCCATATAAATATGCAAAAACAAACACTATGGTTTGCCTATAGAATTTTGCATTAGAACTAGTCGATTGATTTATGAAGGCTATATTGAAATATGTAATACTTCACATATATAACAGCAGAAGAGTTAGCGGAACCACAGAACTGTTCCATAAAACTAGCATGGTAACATATATCAGATATGCTTGTCCATCACGAAAAGAAGCAATTTAAATAAGAGTGATGCAGATCAGGAGATGGATGGATTCAATATTTTTATTCTTTTCAATTTTAGGGGAGTTAATCATTTCTTTATTCTTTTGACGAGTCAATCTTTAGGAATTTTATTTATTTTAGGGGTTAGCCTTTATTTCTTGGGATTTAAGTTTTTTTGGGATTCTAGGGTTTTTTTATTGTTTTATTTACTATTCATAAGTACTATTCAAGGGTTCATAGTATTGTTCACAATTACTGTTCACGGCTGTTGCGCAAACGAGAACAATAGTGTGCCCCAAACAACGACAAATCTACAGGGATAGATCCAAATCATGAGGGGCTTTTTGAAGAATGGCATGAATCAAATTCCAACTCAAAGTGGGAGTAAAATGATGATGGTTGAGTCTATTTTTTAGAACCGTTTTATGCACATGCTGCGCTTTGGGACCTCATGTTCGGGAAAGTAGATTGTGGAGTTGTAATATTGAGGTTGATCTACCTGAGTTTGAACAAGAACAAAAATGATCCAATGTTCAATTGGATTCAATCTTCTTTGAATCAATGCATAGTCCTATCTTTAATAGTGATCTTATTTTCTTTAGGAACCAAAAGATCTCATCTTTGATAAATGTCCTATTTCTTATTAAGGAACAAGATGAAATGAAAGAAGTTGGCCTTGAGGCAACAATGATATCTAATTTCCTCATCAATGGATAGATAAAGACGCAAGATGCTGACTTGAACACACAGGAGCTCGAGCTTATGGAGATTTTAGAAGAAAGGAAACAGTTGAGGAAGGAGGCACAAAGAGGGAAAGCTAGAAATGAAGATTTTAATAATATGATCAAGACTTATAAGAAACCATGGAGGTTGATGATGAAGATGGATCTTATTTCACTAATAAAAGATTGATGATGAACATACATTATCGAGTAGTTTTGTATCTACAGACATAAAAGTTTGAATATTGCTCTAAGAATCATGACAAGGCCTTCAAGATTGAAGAACATCATGGGTTGGTAGGATTCATCCTAGCTCATTTCAAAACTCGCCCATCATGGGTTGGTAGGATTCATCCTAGCTCATTTCAAAACTCAAGGGCGGGTTTTCTCCAACCAGAGGAGAATAATGCAAATGAAGAGATGGATGGATTCAATATTTTTATTCTTCTCAATTTTAGGGGAGTATTTCTTTATGGGTCAATTTTTTGGAATTTTATTTATTTTGGGTTAGGGTCTATTTCTAGGGTTTTTATTTTTTGGGGATTCTAGGGGTTTTTATATTTGTCATTTACTATTCACAGGTATTGTTCATGATTACTAGTCACGGGTACTACTCATGAGAGAACTATTCACATAGGTATTTCTGGAATTTTAATATTGTTTAGCAATATTTTAGGGGCTGTTTGGGAACCTGAAAATCTACTACATGAAAATAGATTACACGAAAATATGACATTTCCATTGTTTGGGTACACTTTAATAGTAAAGAAATGGAAAAAGATTACCGAGATTTCCCCAAAAATCAGGAAATCTATTATACGCAGTGAAGGGTAAAAACTTTGACGAGTAATCGGGAGGAGCAATCTTCTGCAGCCAATAACTCCCTTTACAAACTGAATCGCACATATATTTAAACCTCAAAAATCTCAAAAATCACAAAAATAACACAGCAGCCCCATCTTCTAAAACTAGCATCTAAAACAACTAAAACTCATCTGCTTCTTCCACTACCAGCTAAAACCCGGCAGCCCCATCTTCTGCATAGATGGTTGTAGCTATTGCTCCATAAGTGTAGCGGTTGTAGCTATTGTTTATTTCTAGATATCGATTTATTTTTTGGGTTATGCAACCACAGTTGTAACTATTGTTCCAAAAAAATGGATTTGGGTTCTCTGCTAAGATCAGCCTGTTTATTTTTTTGCTTTTATTTTTTCCTTTTTGCTGCTATTGTTTGCTGATAAATTCGAAATATTGGAGTTCACCCACAAAGAATCGTCAAATCAGTGTACTTAAATTTTATTTTATTTTTTTCAAAACTTTTTTAAATTAATTTACCGCTTCAATCTCCTCCAATGCCCCAACATAATTTCTCCCCCAATACATCTCATTTAGTCATAAAGCCTTCTAAGTTACTAGCCAAATTTCTCCAAACTTTTTTTTCTTTTGAATTTGCCATGGAAGTTTTTTGGAGAGCGATGATCGAAAGGCTTTAGCACAAGAAAAAAAACATAAAAAATATGATGGCTTATCATAATAAAAATATGTTATTCTAAAGTGTCAACATCTTGAAAACATGTGATTCCAAGTCAAGATGCAAAGGCATACAAAAGGTGTGGCTAATTCTTATGATTGATGCAATTATAAAGTTTAATCTACATATTAATAGGGATAAAGTTTAAGCTACATACTAATAGGGATTGTACGCTCAACCATGTTTTGGGTATAAAGCCAAAAAATAAATAAAAAATGTTGGTAATGCATTTCCCATATTTCTTCTGGACATTAGCCAAACAGTAACAATGTATTTCCCAGGTTGCATCTAAATACTACCCCAGTAGTGACAATCCATTTACAGGTAATGTATTACGCTAGTAATATATTTCACGGACAATATATTTCCAAGTATCCAAACAGCCCCTTAGAGTCTTAAACTCAAAAAAGTGGACCACCCAGCGCCTAGGCAGTCCAGAAGGCCTCGGCGCATCCCTGGGCGGCCGCCTAGATGATCCAGAAGGCTTAGGCGCATCGCCCAAGCCTAAGCAGCCAAACTGGGCGGTGGTCCTTGGGTGGCCCGCCTAGGGCCTGCACCTCGCCCAGAGGCGGAAAAGTTTTTTTTTTTTTTTTTTCGTTTTTTTCAAGATATAAAAGTTTAGAAAGATGAATTTTAAGTTCATTTGAAACCTAAACCTCCAAGAAACCCTTTTTGAGAGAAAGAAACCTCCAAAAACCTACATTTCATAGGATCGACTCATCAAAGTGTTTCTCAAAGTTTGGCGTTCGAGCAACCAAAGTAAGTGCAACTTTTAGATTGCTTGTTTTATTTTGAGATATGTTCTTCAGGAGTTAGTCTGAGTGGAGATCTGGGTTGGAAATATAGATACAACTCGAATCCAAATGAAAAAAATTGCGTTAGATGCAATTTTTGTGAAAAAGATACAAAGTGAGGCATAAACCGGTTTAAGAAACATATTGCCAGTATTAAGGGGGATGCTGCCCCTTGTAAAAGTGTTCCTGAAGCTATCAGAGAGGAGATTAAGCAATTAATAAATTATGTAAAACAAAAACAAGAGCAAAATCCTTGTCATAGATATATTTCTGCTACTCCTAGAAAAAGTTATCCAGGTTGGAAGTATGGGTACAACCCAAAACCAAATGATAAAAATTGTATAAAGTGTAATTTTTGTGAAAAAGATACCAATGGGGGTAATAGCCGATTCAGAAAACACATTGCTGGTGTTAGAGGTAACGTTGCTTCTTGTACAAAGGTTCCTGAAGCAGTTCGGGATAATAGTAGACATCTTCTGAATTTTGAAGAACTAGAAAAGGATAAAAATAAACTTTGTTTTATGGAAGTATCTTCTCCAGGTTCTGGAAGGAGTGGTGATCCGGGTCGGAAGTATGGTTATAACCCGAATCCAAGTGATAAAAATCGTATTAAATATAATTATTGTGGAAAGGATACTAAAGGGGGCATTTACAGGTTTAAAAAACACCTTGTCGGTATTAAGAGGGATGTTGCCCCTTGTAAAAATATTCCTGAGGCTACTAAGAAGGAAATTATACAATATTTGAGTTCAGAGATGCACAAAGCAAAAGGTAGAGCAGCCAAGACTCTTAGGGCCTCATCTGCACAGACTAGTAAGAGGAAGGTAGAAGAAAAGGAGGAGGAAGACACAGATTCAGAAGAAACAGAGGAGGGCGAGCGTTATATTGAAGAGGGAGATAACTCTGATGATGATGGCCTCAACTCTGAGGCATATGATGAGGCTTGCCCTATTGATATTCTTTCTGATGATGATGACAACGACTGAAGACTCTTGCCTCTTGTGCTGAGTGTTGAGTATGTTGACTGTTGTGTTGAGTCACGAGTGTTGACTTTTGTTATACTGCATATTTTGTAAATTTTTGTTGTGTTGAGTGTTGACTTTTATATCCTACTTATACTTGTATGGTTTTACAGTTTACTGGTTTAACAATATGGATTATCAAAATTCTCTTCTCAACATCTATCTTTTCTTTTTGAACTTGGAATATCGTATTATATTGGTAATAATTTGGTATGGTTTTTACTTTTTTTCAAATTTCAATAGGCAACCGCCCAAGTTCTGGGCGCCTGCCTAGGCGTTGGGTGGCCTGGACCTCCCAGGCTGCCTAGGATCCGCCTAGCGCTTTTTGATACACTGGTCTTAAATGTTTACTTGGATCCCAAGAGTTTCATAGGCTTATAAAAGGTTGGATGTCAAATTTTGGGATGCTTATGTTATTTGAGAGTGAATTAGGTTTTATGAAAGAAGAAAATTCTTCCTTTCTTGACTTAATTTATAGCCATGTTATTTCTCAATTATTGAAAAGGTGGATTCAATTTCCCACCTTTCCTTCTTGCATTAATGAGTCAGTTCTCTTACAACATGCATAGTTCAGCTTGATTATACAAATCCAATCATAGTGATGCTCCAAGTTACATGAGATAGCCCTTTCCTATTCTGAACATCAATTGAGATGCCCTGTAATGCAAGTGCAACGAAAGCACATATGAGGAGGCTGATCTTCAGCTTCATGACTTCACTTATTCAAACATTTTCAGAACTAGAGAATTGAAGATTACTATGAATAGGATGAAAGCAAAGTAAAATTACCATTTTCTTCTAATGAACAGTTCATTGAAAAATCATTTACTCTGATGCCTTTCATGATGAGTCCGGTGTGGGTGAAGACTCTAAAAGCACCCCTCAACGGTCCAACATGGGTGAAGACCTTAAAAGCACCCCCAATCAGTTCACATGGGTGAGGACCTTAAAAGCGCCCCCAATATGTCCAACATGGGTGAAGTAAACATCAAGTTTGCACCAATAGCGGAAACAAATAGAGACATATCAATTGGAAAGTGACAAAGTGAAATAGTTCCCAAACAAGAAAGATTCTCTGCACAGGCCCTCGCAAGATAGAGAATAAGCTTCTGCATGTTATCAATCATATCCTCCCAAATATCCATATTCCTCCAAGGTTAAAGAGAGCCTAGAGTGGGGAGACCACTGCAAGCTGTTGTTCTCCATTCAGATGACATATCACTTGTTCATTTATGGCTCTCTTGATATCACCACAACCCAAACCCAGTCTCTCACCAACTCAATTCTAGAGTAAACTCTCCATTTTTTTTTATATTATTTTTTTTGCCATTCCAAATACCCCAAAACATCTCCAAGGAAGCATACCTACATTGATCGACCTTTCTGCGGAAAAGGGAGAAGCAACCAACAACCCTTAAAAGAGTAAAAGAATGGATATACATGACAAAGGAGATATCCCACCTACTCCTTGTCACCACATAGAAAACATACATTTGGGAATTGGAGATCACAAAGTTCAAGATGGTCCTATAAACAACAACGCTCATAGTAGTCAGCTAGCCAATTGTAAGCAACTCAGCATGTTTGGTAGAGGTCAGGGTGTCGAAACAAGCTTTCCTCTATGCATTGAATCTCTGGCAAAGAACCATCGAATACCTAGACATGACTACCACAACCAGATCATCCCATCCAAACCCTGAAGGTCGTGTATACAGTACCTCTAAGCAACAGAAGTGATACAGCTCATCTACCTTCCGGTCTCCCCAATCAAACATAAACCATACCCCCTCACCTGCCCCGCAAAAAAAAAAAAAAAAAACAATCCTCCACAACACACACACACACTTGTGAACCAACCTTGAAGGAAATATATAAATGGTTCTTCACTTTCTTGTAATTAATACGATTCCGTTTATCAGATGGTTTGAAGAGATCATCATAAATCATCAACCGAACCAAACCCAAATTGACAAGCGCATAATTATCAATAACCAGCTTATACTCTTTAACTGAATCCCAAGAGTGAACTATAACTTCTCCAAAAAAGGTGGAGCATATAGAGGATGGCAATGGGCGAGGCTCGTTTGGCAAAGCCCAGTAGGACCAAGCCAGGGCCGTTACTTTAGATTTGGCTGGCAAGGATGGGCCAGCCCAAGAACTTCCCAATTAGGGGTGGGCAACAGGTCGGGTCGACCCAACATGGGTCCGGGTCTGGGTCCTATTTCTGGACCCAACAGATTGGGTCCGGGTCCAGAAGTAGGGACCCAAATCAAGTCAGATCGGGCCCGGTTCTACGATGACCCGACCCAAATATTTTTGATGCACTATTTAAAATTTATTATAACAATATACAATATCATATATAGACCCAACCCCAATTAGCTGGGAAAAGGCTTTGACGATGATTATATATTGACCCGACCAAACCCGATCCGACTCGAATATTTTGTCTATGCATTATATGACATAATTATTAATGTAATATACTATTATATGATATCTTACAGCTAGAAGCTCAAAGGGATTCCTAAGGAGAAGGTTTCTCTCTTCTCTTCGACTATTTTTTAAAAATAAGCATTGCTTGACCTGACCGGGTTCGGGTAGGGCCTGGATCCACTTGACCTTGATCTAACCAACCCAAATATATTGGTATAAATAACATATAAATAATCTAAATTATATTGTACAAATATATAAAATATTTTTTAAAATATTTTTTATTTATAGACCCGGACCCGATCCAAACCGACCTGACCCGGTGGATTGGGTCCGGTTCTAACTTAGACCTAGCTGGGTAGGGTCTAGGTCGGGGCCGACTTGGAACCGAGCTGACCCATTCCCACCCCTATTCCCAGTCCATGTCAGGCTGGACCATGACCCACCAGGCTTTACAGGGAACATATGCTGGCCCAGGCCTCGGCTTAGCTGAGCCAGCTGCACAACCCATTGGCATCCTTACATGTAGAAAATGACTCCACATTCAGATGTCTGCATCAATACAAGAACCAAACCCAAATTTCAAACACAACGACCCAATGGACTCCATTTAATATGCCTTATAAACGTCATATAGGCTACAGAACCCTACACTAACCTCATTTTCAAAGGAGTAAACTGTAGACTAAGAGTTCAAGCAAACCGTAGACTACGAGTTCAACTTCAGCTTCTGATTGACTCACTGAACCAATAGAAAGAAATTGAAATCTGAGACAGGCCGCACAATAAAAATCTAAATAAGTTTCAATGGTAACCTTAATTAAGATCACTAACAAAAAAGAAAAAAATCCTCGACTTAGAGCAACATATCATCCCTAAGCAATATCCTTTTCCTGAACCCCCTACTTTTCCTGAACCGCCCCACTAAGCTATAAACAAGATTCCCTTACCTCTACAACCACTAACAGGAAGAAGACATGAACTGCTGGCTGGTAAGGGACCTTCACGATACCTAGGATGGCCATCAAAAGAACTGCACTTTTATTAGACAACCTCTAAAAATATGCACATTTCCAGATGGGAGAGACCAAAATAGAATTTGTATTGCAAAATTTCTTATAAGATCGACATGTATAATATGGGATACACAGACAGAGACCCACTGCCCATCATTTGGAGGACTACAGAGATGAGCCAGGGTTCTGTTTTAATTCCTCATTGTCCAACAGTATGGAATAGCAGCCAATCTCCACCATGAATTGATGATTACGGGCCGTAGATGGCAACTATGTGTTCAATTAGTATATACATTGCACTATAGCATATGGACCTATTTTGTTCTCACATATACCTTGCCGACCAAAACTTGCCATTACAAATCAAAATTATCTCATCATCTGCATCCCAGAGAGCCATGGTAAGAAAACTATCCACCTATTAGGAAAAAAAATGCTACTACATATCACATGCAATTTATGAAGCATCCTAAAGCATCATTACATAGTACATCAATAATTCGCCCTCTTTGCACAAAAATTATCAAATCAACAGCCTAGCATTTATAACAAATCTTATGCATCTAAAAAATACCTTCCCAGACAATATCACAAAAACGCAACTGGGAAGAAAGATTCAAGAATATCACCTAAAGCTGTTAGCAGCATTTTTCAGCACCTTAATTGCTTCAATCACAATCAAGCCAGCAATAACTGCATTCGTTGTGGCAATAGCATGTACGATGTTACCAGCAATTCCTTTTGATTCAAAAAGGCTGTGCATGGGAATGCCAAATGAAGCAGCCCTGACATTAGCAGCAGCAGTAACAAACTCTACAGATAGTTGGTCATCTTTATCAAAGCTGAGGCTCCCAATATCCTAGAGACACAAGAAAGCAAGGCAACAACAATCAGAAATAGAGAATCTCCCAAAAAGAGAAAATTGCAAAATCCACCAACTTAGAAAATAAATATAAACAGAGCCAGACCTTCTCTCGCTTCTTAAGAAACAATGACAGAGCCTCCAAGAAAACCTTGCTGTTCTCAGCAAGAGTCCAAGTATCTTGTGGATTCATGAGCCCCAAAGAATGCATTGCTGAAAGTGATGATTTATCCGTTATGTCCAGTGTATTATTTGTGCCATTTTGATGCATGCCTGGCTCAGGCAGGACATCTTTAATATATATTGGCTTTGGTTTATTTCTGTTTTTCCAGGTTTCTTCATTAGAGAGAGCCAAATCAATGTTATATCCAAACACATGATCGTATATTCTTTTTCCATATTTCTCACAATCTTCATCATCTCGTTGGACAGATATATCTTCATTATTTTTTGACGAATTTGTAGCATCCGCTGAGTGCACATTGAGATCATTATCTTGCGTTCTATCTCCAAACAACTTGGCAAAGAGGAGATCCTTTGCCCAGACAATACAATGCACAAACTGCACAAGCATTAATACAAGAAGAAGCATTAATAAACAAGGAACAGGGATCTCATATTCCCATACAAAGATAATAAGCTCTAAGATACACATTATGATTCCCCTGGAATAAACAACCTCATAAAAAAATCGAATTATTGAAAAACAAAATGCAGCAATTTGAAGTCCTAAGACAAATTATGAAATATGATAGAAATTTAGAACCATAACTAGCAGATCCCATGTAGAACTGATATCTTAAGAACATGAAACAAGTTGTGTGAGACCAGCATGCACAGCAGATCCCAAGATTGCATTGGGAACAACCATAAGACAAACCACTGTAGATACTTGCAATATGACATAGAGCATTTTTAAACATTGAAACAATAGAGGCAGAACTAGGAGTCCTGCTTATGGGCAGCAAAACACATAAGAAACCTTACTAATAGCATTTCATTCTTGCTAGACAAATCCAAGAACGAGAATTCAATTAAACAGATGATCTCCATACTAAGTTAAATAGCACTCAACAACAAAAAATACACCATCTTTCAAAAGTGGTCTCAAATCAATTATGTATAGCATCATTCTAGAAACTTGAGTAATTTGTGTAGCATTTGATTAGGACTCTAGATAGTCATGTGAAACAAATTATTCGCAAATTTCAAGAAATATATGTCACAAATTATTCAAATATTTCATAAATGCATACATCACACGAGCACACATGCAACAGTTGCATCACTAATCCGCATATATATATAGTCGTGCTTCAGCAAAGCAAGAAAATAATCATACATCTGGCATACGAGAGAACTACTGAAAATCCCCTAATGCATCGACTTATATCTACAATTTGAACATTTCATAACTAATAGTCCAACACAAGCAATCGTTTAATGTTCTAAAAACACAAATTCGTATCTCATTCTGAAAAACCCATCAATAAAACTCAATCCACCATCAAATTGACATTCAACCACATAAAAGTGCAGAAATGTCTAAATCACAGGGAGGCAGCAATTCAAATTGAATCTGAGGACATCTTGCTGAAATCGTTTTTCCCATTTTTCAGCCAAGATTATTTATCACTGTTAGAATGGGTGAGCAAGGCATGTCACTAAAGAAGCAAATACCATACCCGATATTCTAGAAAAGTTGGGATTATCTAGGAAGGAACAGTATCCTGGAATATTATTATAGCTCCATGAGAAAAGTGTTGTAATCTTCTTTTTTCCTTTTATTTCTTTTGTTTTTTTTTGAGACTAGAATATTTGACTTATATTATATGAGAGATAGGGCATTGCATCATTTTCAAAAGATTGCACCCCACAAATAGGGTTACTCTATACAGTCATAAATACCAAAAAGATGGGGTGCTTGGAATGCCCCAACAATAAAGTGTTGTAATCCTCTGTACTACATGTGTTAGGTAAAGATAAATTTATATAAAAGTTTTAAAAGAAACAGAGAAAGTATAAAGATATTGGGAAGGCTATGCTCTTTGACAATTATTAGTAACCCAAAAGAAGAGAAAAGGAAAGAAGAAACTTGATAATCTCGTGACATATATTCATTAACCACTTGCCTAAGTCAATCAATGTTTTCTAGGAAAATGACTATCTGAAACTGGCAGTACTGAAAAGACATACTACTTTAGTATCTTTCTTCAACAACAAAAAAACCCCAAAAAAGAGAGAAAGAAGATGATGGGCAGAGTTGTCCCATTACTTCAAAGGACATATAAGTCATACAAGATAAATCAAGTATTTAAAAAATAACCAAGCTATACTTGGAATCATCTGAGTCGGCCTGGACATGGTGGGTCACCGGGCTGAGTCTCAATCAGATTCAGACAAGTTGGCTGGGAAACCCACCTTTTCACCTTAAAAACAACTATTGAGCAGTAATTTAGACTACTCAGCCTATAAATTATGAACTTTGTTGGCTATAAATGCACCCCAATGGATCGATTACAGCAGGAAATCGATCAAATTCGAATACAAAGAATTCCAAAAAAGTCATTTTTTTAGCCCCCTCAAAAAAAAACCTATCCCACCATTTTGTCGATTTCCCTAGCAAATCTACATGAAGAAATTTGAAACTTGTTTTTAATTGTTTGTGCTTGATTACTCCATCAACGCCCTATCCAAATTTTGTGGGTCAACTCAGATTTCAAGAAATCAAGGGTCAAAAATTTCAGGTTTATTCATCACAAGTCTCTGACTTTAGATCCAACAAATTTTGGGTTTAAAGAAACAATTTTTGGGGTGATTGTGATCTAGAGCTATTAGGATCAATCAAAACCAGGTATATGATTCTTCAATATTTATTTGTATCTATTTTAATTGTTTTCGCTTGGTTTAGGGTTTTCTAAAGAAGTACCATGAAATTTCAATAAACCAAAACTATTTGGTAAATACTATGTTGGATATTCGCCTCTCTTTATTTTCTTTTGTTTTTCTTGTTGGAGAGGTAGGATGAATGGAGAGGGGGAGGGGGGGGCGGGGGGGTGTTCTAAGTTGGTTTAGGAGAGGATTATGAATTCTGTGTTGATCATTCCCTAATTTACGATGAAATCTTTTGAAAAATGGGCCGAAATTTTGCAAGAAAAAAAAAATGAAATTATTGGCTGGAGATTTTTTGGGGTGTTTGATCTTTAGATTGAATTAGGACCACTTATAGATAATTTTTCTGTTCATTTTTTCTTTAATTGAAATGAAATTATTTTTCTTTTTCTTTTTTTGCTTGGTCATCTATTTTTCAAAAAAAACGGACAGGAACAATATTCTCGGTATTCACACCTTTTCAAAAATTCAATCATTATGTGCTACATATTTATCAAATTTTTCACAAATCCACTTTGATTTTAGAATTTTTTGAAACAAATTTATCAAATTGTTCACAAATCCACTCTAGCTTTAGACTTTTTTGAGATTTTTTCAATTTTTTTTCTGCTTGATAATGTTGAACACGGCGAGCCACTCCATGTTCGCTGGGACACCAGGTCGATTCACACCGGCAAGTGCCCAGGTTGCCTACCCAAGTCAGATTTTGAAACCCTGTCATAAATGATAGAACAGTAGTACATAGTAACGCACTGCAAAAAATAAATACTTTGGGGCTACAAGGATAACATTTGCCAGCAATAAAAGGCCATGAAGAGACAACAACAATATTTTCTCATACGAAGACCTGACAATCAATTCAAATAGGAAGCTAGGAATAGAATGATATCAATCTGCCTTCAATTCTTAATAATTACAATAATAACAACAACAGTAGTTCCACCTTTGTTGGAGTACTAGTAATAGTGCAGACTGGATATGTCTTGGGAGTAGGTTTCGGTTGGCATTCATAGCACTCTGTCTGACCCTTAACATGAACAGTCACCTGCTCTCAATTGGAAAGAAGTAATGTTATTAAGATCACCAAAGGTGACAAGCAGCTAAGTACTAAAAACACAAACACAATCTTTGAATAACAATAATAATATGATCAGCAAATTCTGCCACTTACGTCTAGAAAAAAAAAGGAAAATAATGTGAAAAAAAATAGGGCAGTTTCTCAATCACTAAAAATTGTTTAAACTCAGCCAAAAAATAATCAACATGAATGACACTTAATAACTAATGTTCCACTGCAACAAGGAAAATCATTTTCCATTTACAAATTTCAATGTTTTCTGCAACACATTTCATTCGTAATTGCCAGAAGGATATAGATTCAGCAAAAAAAAACAGGAAACTGGATCTCAAAACAAAGAGAACAAAGAGGATAATTTTAGTTTGAATTTTTTGCAATTATAAGAAAGTAAGATCCTCAGGTGGAATACAAAACTACAACCTTTGTGTTTTGTGACAACATAAGTGATGAGTGTGATATTCTAAGAAGGCCAATCCATTCTTACAAGCTCATAAAAAGCAAGTTGGGACTGACTATCACATCATACACTCTTTCCTATTTATTTCAAGTTTCTTCCAGTAGTGAGATTTGCCAAGTGGTCTCCTATCATATGCATGCCAAGTCCCCAATTGGAATTTAAGTTTTCTGCCCTTTTTCATAAATATTAATTTTTCATCAAAGTTATCCATTCAAATATCCATCCAAATATCCATCCATAAATGCCTACTCATGGTCACAGAATACTCAATCTAATGCAGATAGAAGAATGGTTCTTGAAGATAATGACTGACTATAACAGTCACATAAAATCCAAAAAAGCAAAAACTTGTATAACCAAACAAAAAATTATTACCATGCATGACCCATAAGATGCATGTTCTCCAGCACCAGCACCATTACTATAGATTCATACTGCATCGTTACTATACATTCATAGTAACTAACAACTACAAACAATAATAATAAACAGCTGAAGAACAAGGAAAATAATAACATTACCTGGCCCAAGAATCCAGTAGTTCCACTTTCAACTAACGGAACACCAGCAGCCAAGCACAACCGATTGACATGCCTCCTTGCGTCCAAGTTATCAAGGCCATTTAGAACCACATTGAATTGCTTGAAGAAATCTACATTGAACTCAGAATTCTTGACATTCGCATGGTGTGCAGTAATATTTATGTTGGGCCTAAATTTCAATACTGCTTCACGTGCGACCTAGTCAAAATAATTGAATTAGAAATCTTTATACAAATAGTGCACACCTCTATGTTTATGTAGAAATGTAAACAACGGGTAAACTTTCTGTGGACAGCGTCATTCTTTTTTATAACATTGACAGAAGCACCAAAATCCATCATTTCTTAAACTGCAGTTCCTGCTCTAACTACTACTCTGTATCATCCATGCATGAGACAATAAGATTTACAATTTTAAGAGCTCAAAACTTTTCTTTTTTAGGATTGATCAGCGGTGAATCAAGATGTTTTTGCAAAAGTTTGGGTCCTAAAAGTCCTAAGATGATTTTAGGGCTTCTGTCGATACTGCGGAGATGGACAGCCCCTCCAACGGATATTTTTCCAAATAAATGAGTTCATGGAGCATACATGTGCAGCTGCCTAGGAACATAAATAAGAATGCATGAAGAATATATAGAAGCAAAAAAAAAAGAGAACTACAGAAGCA